CATCTGTAACTACATCAAAACCCTTGGTTGGGTTGGGAGTGAAGTCATGAAACTCCTAAAGGCGGGTCCTGAGAAACCAATTAATATTTCTTAACAATGAGGCCTTCTAAAAGCCTCAAGCAGGTCCTTCAAGAGGTATCCCAGAAGGCAGTGCTCTCAGGAGAGGACAGCTCCATGCATTACTGTCCTGAAGCCCTTCTAGTGGGTCATGATGTGGATGTAACAGTGAGAGTTATGATCTTGACCCTGTGTAGGTCTGGGCTAATATATTTTAGGTTTCTTTTTTTAAACATGTAAAGAGTAAAAAACTGAAGAGTTCACAGAATAAGGATGCAAAGAAAACACTTTTGTACAGCTGTACAATGTCTTAAGCTGTTATTGTAAGTCAAAGTTTTATACAACATAAAGGTATAAGAAGCTAAATAATGACTTCTTGAAAAATAATTTTCAAATTCACTTTGGGTAGCTTAAGTCTGCAGACTTTGAAAAGTCTGCAGCACGGTACCACCCTAAGTCTTTACATTCACTCACCATTCACTCACTGACTCACCAAGACCAACTTCCAGTCCTGCGAACTTCACTCAAGCTAAGTGCCCTATACAGGTGTACTGTTTTTCCTCTATTGTATCTTTTATGTTTTTGAGATAGAAGTCTTACTACGTTGTCCACACTGGTTTTGAACTGGGCTCAAGTAGTCCTCCTGTCTCAGCCTCCAGACTCGCTGGGACTATAGCTGGGACTAGTCGTGTGCTACCACTCCTGGCTTATACTGTTTTTACTGTTTAGATATAAAAAATACCAGTGTTAAAATTGTCAACAGTATTTATTACAGTTAAATGCTGAATAGGTTTGCAACCTAGGTCCAATAGAGAATAGCAGCCTAGATATGTACTAGATGAACCAACTGGGTATGTTGAAGTGGACTGTTCTCGCAATGAAATGGTAATTCATTCCTGTGCATTCCTCAAAATCTATGTCCATTATTCAGCAACACAACTGCACTCTATACAATTTTCTTTTAAATCAGAAGTTACAAATTAAAATGTATGCACTGAATATTTTATCACACACACACACACAAAAAAAAAAAAAAAAAAAATTGGTGAGTCCTCCCACCCCCACCACCGCATGCTAAGTGGAACCTTTGGGAAATAATTAGGTTTAAAGGAAGTCTGAGTGTGGGCATTCCTACGATGCAATTCGTGTTTAAAAATTGGTATTAGTCCATGCTTGCAGTACATAATAACTATATTGTGTATTTTTATTTATTTTGGACAGGACAGAGCTCATTTGCTCTCCATTTGATGACAGGAAGGCGGGAGCTCAGCTGTTGGCATGCCAGAAAGAGGGTCTCATGAAACAGCTGGCTGGCCCTGTATTCTTGGAGTTCCTGGTCCTCAAAGCTAAGTCAGGACAGTGGTACATGCCTGGAATCCCAGCAGCTTGTAAAGTTGGAGCAGGAACATCTAGTTCAAGGCCACTGTGAGCAACTTAGTGGGACCCTGACTCAAAATATTACTATCTTAAAAATTTCTCAGCCCTTTTCCACTTGCCAGGCAGGCACTGTGCCTGCTGAGCCATTCTCTGGCTCCTAGTATCTGTTACCAGGTTTGTTTGTTTGTTTGTTTTTAATTTTTTTTTTTGGGGGGGGGTGTTTTCTGGTACCAGGAACCAAATTCACAACCTTGCACTTGCCAGACAGGTGCTGTGCCACTGAGCTAAATCCCCAGCCCCCTACTATCTTAAAAATTAGTTTTCTATTGTTTTGTGGAGGAGGACTGAAATGAGGGTTTTCAGTAGCAATGGACTACATCGACTCTGACACAGGATCTTGCCAAACTTCCTAGGCTAGGCTGGAATCCGCCATCTCCCTGCCCGAGTCTGCTCTATTACTGGAAGTGCTGGTGTGCACCACACCTGGCAGCTTATTGCTGGTTGACCACCTTTTTCACAGCACTTTGAATGGCTGAGAGAAGTGCGCATTACTGAAAATGCCTTGTATTCAATGAACTGCTTTTCTCTTGTTGCTTCCTTCAGACTCTGCTTTGTGAAACTATTCTGTATTATATAACTAGAGCTTTTTTGGATGTGCAATTGGTATTTTTCATCTGACTTTGGAGTTTCTGGAAATTAGCTCTTCAAACACCCTTTCTTCCTCTCCTGAAATTTGCTTTCTACAAATTCGTGTACGTAATAATGATCCACAGTTCTATTTTTAATTGGCCTATTGTCAAGTTCATTAATTGCAGCTGTTCAGATCCGTTGAGACCCTCTAGACTAGTGGTGGTGAACCTACAGCGCACTTGCTGCAGCTGGCTGTTACTGAAAGCTCTAAAAGGTTCCCTGTCACTGTTCTACAGCACTTTTAATTTTGATTATTGTACTTGAACTCAAATTTCTTTCTCTGATAGACTTCGCTAATATTTAGTCCCTTTTAGGTGTTTACATGTATTTACAAAAAGCTGACTTAAAATATTTGTTGATTAAGCCCAACATCTGGACTTCTTCATAGGCACTTCCCATTCCTTTGTATGTCTTTTGCTGAAAACTAGACTATGTGATAACTCTGGAAATCAGAATCCCTCCACTTGCCCAGACTTGAATTTATTGTTCCTTCAGTGATCTTCCTGGACTAATTTTCTACAAGATGCTTCTTTGCTGCATGTGAACACTGGAGTCTTTGCTTCATTAGCTGAGAAGAGGTTTCTTTAAAAGTCTCAAACAGTATTTTCTGTGCTGTTTCTATGTTGGGATTAAACTGTGCCTTAGCTTCCCTTTCTGCTTGCACAGCCTCAAGGTCCGACACAAGGGAGACTAGTGCTTTCTTAGTGTTCTTCTGAGCAGACCTGCCCAATGCATCCAACAGTCCCAGGAATATGATGGAGCCTCCCCACCACTTCTTTTTTGGTCGGCCTCTTTCCAGCCCCTGCTGCCTCATGCAACTACTATGTCAGACTATTTTGCACAAACCCTCCTGAGATTGAGCTATTTGCACTAAGTGAGCTCAGTCCAAACAAGACAAACTGAAAATAAACCTTTTCAAAAAAGGAGACGCCTTCTACACCAAACACTGACAATTAAGATTTGTTTGGTTTTTTTTAGTCTTTTTGAGAGTTTCACTATGTAGTTCAGGCCTTGCACTCACAGCAATTCTGTCTGAGCTTCCTGAGCGCTGCGATGATAGGTGTGCGCCACCACACCCAGCTGAGGTAAGTTTTTTGGGGTAGTTACTGGCTGTTTTGGGAGAATCCAAACTTGTCCAAGTCCCCTCCAACAGCTGGCTCCTGGTTTTCAGAGCTATCAAGATTACCATGGAGCTACAGAAAATGGGATGGGCTGGTTAAATACTATGAAACTGCTGCATTTAAAGGTTCTTCTAATTGTTAGTTAATTCTAGACTTCTGAAACAGTTGATTTTTTTATAATGTTCTTAATGCTATGACAGAACAGTGGATTTTTCAGAGGCTCTTAGCTGACAAATACAGGAAAGCTCTTAAGGAAGTTTTTTTTATAGTTACAACTGCACACTAATATTCCTTTTTTAATGCTCTTTTGGGGGTGTGTTTGAGACAGGGTCTTGCTATGTAGTCAAGGCTGCCCTCGAACTCACTGCGATCCTCCTGCCTCAGCCTCAGGAGTGCTAGCACTGGAGATATGCACCCCACACCTAGCTCCTTTCTTATGCTTGATTAGCAGTAATAACTTGGTTCACTAATAATGCTTCTGTTTACAATCTGGTTCACAAAAGCATTAGGCAGAATTTTGCTCCCATATGCAAACTCCACATTAGATGACAAATACAACCATAGCCATCTTCCCCTAAACTGTAAAACAAATTTTTAAGTATGTAAACCAAGGTACCACTGTAAAAAAATTATTTCCAACTAGAAATAAAATGGACATTTAAAAGATTATTTTTCTCACCTAGCATTTTTATTTCATCCAAGTCTGCCTGTAAGTGTGAATGCTACCCACCCTAAGGGTATGTAGCCTGGCTAGACTATAAGAGACAGAAAGAAGACTGCTGTTGTTGGTTGCTGCTTGCTGTCTTCTGCCTGCCATGAACTGTTTTCTCTTCTGCCATTCTACCCTGCCTGCGAACCAGCCAACTATGAACTGAAACCTCTACAAAATGTAAGCAACAAAACTTTCCTCCTTTAACTTTGGGAGTCAGGTATTTTGTCTCAGCAATGAGAAAATTAAGATACCATTCAATGAAAAATAGACTACCCTCTATCTAAGAAAACTGGAAATCCACATGCACATGAAAAGAGTTGGACCTTCATCTTTACCATATACAAAATTAAAAAATGGATTAAAGACCCTAACAGCTACAACTATAAAATTCTTAGAAGAGGAAAATCTTTGTAGCATTGGGTCAGATGTTGACTTCAATATGACACTGAAAGCACAACCAGCAAAAGAAGAAAACGTATACTACACTTTATCAAAATTAAAGTATTTCGTACATCAAGGATGCTTATCAAGTGAATGAAAAGAAAACCCACAAGGAGAAAATATTTTATCGTATACTTAATAACAGACTAATTCCCAGAATAAACAACTCCTCCAATCCAACAATGCAACCCAATTTAAAATGGACAAAGGAAGAGGGCACCTACAGTCCAAACTACGGTGTTCAGGAGGACTGCTGTATGCAGGAGGATTGCTTGAGCCCAGTTTATGCCTGGCTGAGACCTGTCTCAAGTGCGGGTGGGGGTTAAAGAGGTAAATTTGGTTATGTATAGTTACCAGAACAAATTTTAAAGTGACAAAGCATCCAAAAGGCATTCGTCACAACTGATGAGCCAAATGAGAAAGCAGTTATAGAAATTACTAAAGTGGTATTTTATGAAGTCTTAACTGGTGGTGACGGACAATAGTATCTCTCGTCTGGCTGCCTCAAAACGAACACATACACACGCTCACACAATTCACTCAATGCACATCACATACCTGTAACTATATTTTGCAAAGGATTACACATCCAATGACTCTACTAATGATGCACACAGTTTATGTCCTCCCATACTGACAGATAAAAACACATACATTCTCTAAGCACGAAGCTTATATTCACAAATAACTTTCTGCTTAAAGACAAAATTTCAATTAATAACCACAATGGGAATTTAGTTATTTAATGCAATCACTAATCTAATGTCACTAATAAAATCTAAACAGTTTTACCACAAAACCAGGGTTATATTCAATGGACATGCATTAATAATCTATGCAGTTTAACACTATACCAGAAAAGAAATTGAATATAAAAGTACTCTTAATTTTTGGTAGTTTTCAAATTTCATGGCACAAATTACCAAAAAAAACCCTGTAAAAACAGATTTTAAATATTTTCAATAAAATGGTAGAAAATTGAAGCCTTTAAGTTTTCATACTTGCTTTAAGATTTAAAACATCACACTGGCCCCAATCTGTCAATTGTAAATATTTACAATAAATAGACAGACTTTACTTACAATGATATACGAGGTCTAACTCCTTCCTATCAAAATCCTTTGGGGTCAGTTTCTCAATGCAAACATGTTTGCGTAAATACTGTGGTGATATAAACTTGGGAGACATATGCAGAATCACAACAGGGATGAAAAATAACACATAAGTCCCTCTTATTTCTGACCTGTCAGCTCTGGCGTCCAAAACTTCAACACTGTCTCTCAATATAAAACAAAAAGGAGGATGACTTTACCCTACTGGATGACATTTTTCCACAGAATTAGCTTTCAGTACATATCAAACAAAGGCTCGAACTCCATTAACTTGGTTCTATACAGTGTAAATCAGCAGAGCATCAAACTCTAAATGTGAGGCATACTTTTCAAACAAGCAAACTGTTTCCCATTGTGAGTTGTATGTGCCATGAAAATTCTTGAAATTTTTGTGACTACTACCAATAAGAAATGAATTAGGAAAGCAATGAACATATCTTGTACTTTTCATCAAGGCTAAAGTGCAAAATATCTCCGTATCTCTGATATTTTAATAGGAAAAGAACATCAAAAACATGTAACAGGAAATGAAGACAGTAAAATACAAAAAAGAACTCTTAAATATACAATTGAGGACTACATATTACTACCAATTCTTTCTTCAGTAAAATCTGTTAATGAACCACGTTCCCACAGAACTTAAGATTTTGTTTGATTCTCTTCCCCATGACCAGAAATTCTAAACTTACAGGGAAAAAAATGAAAAAAATAACATTGCATGACAATGGACACCAAGTTCATAAAGAACCTCCTTGTAAATGAGATATTATGGAAGAAAATACCATGAAAATTATAATCCTATGAGAATTGATTTTAAGCACAGTAAATTTGAGCCTTGGTCTTCATGAAGATACTACAGTTTGTATAGAAAACTATAAATATATAAGACTCCAGGGGGGAAAAAAGGTGGAATACGTATTACTGTATTTAACATTCCATAGGCCTAGAAAACTTGATGGGAGAGGGAAAATGATAGCCAATTCAATCTTTACTTAAGAACGCATACCTATGAAAAATTCCTGGGTCAAAGGGTGCTCCAAATGGAACTATACTTTGTAAAAGCATACAACTTAGATATATTTTTTAAAGGAAAGAAGAAGTATTGAATAACTGCAGTCCCTTCCAAAAAGTAAATCTTAAATTAAGGGGAAGTAAATCTAATAGTGTAAACGAGTCTGGCTCAGAAAGGAAACTGAACAACATATCCAAGATCTGTCCATAAAAGTAATGATGGTACATCTTTAATATTAAAGAATTAGGCTATAAAAAAAGTTCAGTCCAGAAGTGATTTTTAAAATCTCATTTGTGCTCCTTGGTGGGGGCGTAATAAAGTTCCATGGGTTTGTTCACTTTCCAGTATTTCTCACTGACCAATTCCAAAGAAAAAGAGCCATTTAATACCTACAACAAAAAAGAAAAAAAAAATGAGAATTATGTGAAACATCATAAATAGAACAGAAAGAGCTCCATAGAATTTTCTTTTTAAATCTCAGGAATACCTATCACTTACATTTGTTCATAACACAACAAACAAAAGGTATCGAAAGTCAACTACTCTGTTGTGATTTTTTTTCCCCTCTCGGGTCCTGGTTTTGCAGTCTTGTTGTTAGGCCTTCCCCACCAGAACTGGTCAGTGCCACTCAGAACTGGTCAATGTGCTCCCAGGTTCAACAGTCTATTATTTTAAATACTCACAGTGAACTGGCCACTGGCTGTTGCTATATAAATTGTATACTGCTTCTCACTGGCTGTATCAAGGTTCATCTGGTTTGATTCTCCTTTGCTTCGCAGTTCTTCTAAAGCTAACCTCACAGCCAGATACTTCGATAAGTGATCAACAGTGGCATTACCTGAAGTCTTTATGTATCTGGAAGAATGAATCATTAGAAATGTAATGTACAGAATATATGAGAAAAATGCACTTAAATTATAGAACTATTTCTTTTTTTGTTTTGTTTTTTTTTGTTTTTTCTCCGGTGCCGGGAACTGAACTCACGACCCTGCGCTTGCGAGGCATATAGAACTATTTCTAAAAAGCTAAGTAAAATGTTAATGTCTCAATTATTAAAAAATAATAGAAATTTGTTGCTCTGTAATCTAAAACTTTCTTACTGAAAAGCACAGAAGAGAAGAACTTACACCCTCACTACCTGACTGCCTGGTCACTGAAACTCCCTTAACCTCTATAAAACAAGATGTAATAAAATCAAACAGAAATACACAAAGTGCTAAAAATAAAAAACAGCAACATCTTTTAACACTAATGATCAGATTGGCTGGCTGCAGCACCAAAAAGAATAGCAATTTGAAAGAGACTGCTTATTATCTACAAAATTTAAATAATATACCATTCAGCCATACATTCAATAAATACTTGATGTTTATCTTCACTCAATGACAGGCAGTGCGCTGGAAATACAGTGTGGTAAATTCATTTTTATCAGCTTAAATTTTAAAGCCTACTGGCACGCTGGTATCACTGTTAAGAAATGAAGTTAATCTCTTTTCCTCCTGGCTAGCAGGGTCACTCTTTTCTGATATTCAACTGTGAATGCCAAGTACATGAAGGAGGCAGAAAACAACCATTGGCAGTGGGACAAATACTGGTTTTCTACTTCTTACACAAAATTGCCTTTTAACTCCAAATTAAACCTTCTGAATTCAGATAATCTCAAATTAACCCACATACTTACCTTGTCTGTGCACTGTCATCTTTTTCCATAAGTGTGGGATGAGGCCTGAATACTAACTCAATTTCACTAGCACCATCCATTACTGGATCAATTGCTACTGTTGCATTGTTATTATCAAGTTCAAGCCCAGAATCATCAGATGTTTTGGTCCGTTTGTTACTAGGGCCTGCTTCCTGATTGCTGTGTGTGGATGCATTACTACAGTGCGAACTGTCACCATTATCTTCTGCTCCACTACCATTTTCAATCTGTTGTTTCTTGCCCCGCTGTAATCTAGTAAAGGGGGATGAGATGGGAAGAATACATGAAAGTTACATTTAGTCAAAGCATCACATTCAAAGCATGCCTGCTGCTGAATTCAGATTCTAAAAAATCTTGATGCCGGGTGTGGTGGCACACACCTGTAATCCCAGCACTTGGGAGGCTGAGGCAGGAGGACCCTTGAGAGTTCGAGACCAGCCTGGGCTACAAAGCAAGCTCAAGGCCAGCCTGAACTGCATAGCAAGACCCTGTCTCAAAAAGACCAAAAAAATAATAATAATAAAAAACAATAAATCTTGGTAAGTGAATCTGGTAACGTGCATAATGTCATTGTTCCCCACATGTACCTGAAATCAAGCTTTAGAAAACCTCACTACACACAAATACTTCAGGCATAAATATTCTTAAGCAAACTAAACTTAAAGGATAGTAAGGATTCTATTCCTTCTGACCTCCTGCAAAGTCTGCCAGTGCAATGCAGCCAACACGGTTATAGATGCAACTCACTAACCAATTACTAAGCAAGGCACTTCGTGTACATAATCTCACTTATTCTTCACCAAAATAGCAGGGAAGTAACATTACCACCATTTTGTAGTTGAGAAAACCGAAGAAAATTAGGTAAAAGTTAAATAATCTTCCTACATTAATATAAGTTCCTCATAAAAAAGAAAAAGAGAAAAGGATACATGATGAAAAAGAAGTATGCAAGAATGACAGCACCTCTAAAAATAGTGTCTTTATTAAGTTTACTGCCAGAATAAGCAAACAATAGGCTACTGGTTAGAAAAGATGATCAAGAACTCATAGTTTTATGGTTTATAAATTAATTAAAGAATAAAATAAAAGAAAGGGTAGGAAACAGGTATTTTTGGGAGACAGGAAAGGGGATCAGCAGAAGAGGGAGGGAGGAGGGAAAGGGCAATAAAGGGATCAAAAATATGTATTTCCCTCAAACCAAATAATTTCTGCCAAATAAATGGAACTACTATGTACTGCAAATAAAACACCAATTAAAAGAAAGAAATCCTGCTTTAAAAAATAAAATAAAGTTCTGCTTATGAAACCTATAGATAATTTTAAAACTAAGAAGTAATAACCTAAATGTTAACTGACAAAACTATGATTCAGAAAAATACAAATACATATACCGGAATGTTATTCAGCCTTCAAAAGGGAAGAAAAATCCCCGTCTATGCCACCATATAAATGAATATGTTCAGGATACTATTCTAAGTGAAATAAACCAGTCACAAAAAAGACAAACACTGCTTCTACCTGTATGAGTTATTAACTCATAGAAACTGAAAGTGAAATGGTGATTACCAGAAGCTGAGGAGAGAAAGAAATTAAGAGTAACTGATTAACGGGGAATTTTAGTTTTATATAGTATGAAAAAAGTCCTGGAGATGTGCCACACAACAATGTGAGTAAACACAACAGAATGCCATACTTAAAAATGGTTTTTAAAATGGTTAATTTTGGGGGCTGGTGATTTAGCTCAGTGGCACAGCGCCTGCCTGGCAAGTGCGAGGTCATGAGTTCGATTCCCAGTACCGGGGAAAAAAAAAAAGGTTAATTTTACATTGCATGTTTTGAAACCACAATTTTAGTAATGTGTATGTGCTGTGGAAGCAACCACTTAATCACAATTTTTTGGGGGCTGGGGATTTAGCTCAGCGGCAAAAGCGCCTGCCTGGCATGCGCAAGGTCGTGAGTTCGGTTCCCAGTACCGGAGAAAAACCAAAAAAAAAAAAAAAAAAGACAATCACAATTTTTTTAAATGCATAAATCCTAATAATGGAACAATATAAAACTCTCAATAATTACAACATAAAAATGATACTTACATATGTTCTAAAATCTACAACAAGTGACTTTTATAAAGCTGTTTTAGTTGACTATAAGTTGAAGTAATCTAACAAGTTCCCTAAGACTTAATGTATTTATTTTTACCCCAAAAGTCTTTCCAAAACAGGAATGAATTTTTGGCAACATTTAAATAATGTTTAGATAAAGACAAATAGTCTATTATATCCTACGTTTATCAAATTACATGTACTATAGTACTTACTGTCCTGATGGTACTATTTTAAGAATAACACCAATTATTTTGAGTGATGTAAAGTAGAATATAAAGCAATCAGAACATGAAAATTTAGCCTTGAAAGGAGCATGTAAAAACATGTAACCTGATGAAAATATTTGAAAAGCTAGAAGTAGAATCTGAAAAATGCACAGAATCCAATGTATTTCAACAGAAGACAGACTAGACCACTATACACTGAGCATAATTTTAGTTCAAAATAAAGAAAGAACTTTAAAATTTTTTCACATATTCAAAATTTTTAACTGAACAATTACTTTAAACCAAACATGAGGGCCAGGGATATACCTCAGCGGCACAAGCACCTGCCTGGCAAGCGCAAGGTCCTGAATTCGATCCCGGTAACAAAAAAAAAAAAAAAACCAAACATGGTTCTCAGAACTGGAGTTGAAGACAATGAGACTGATACAGTCTTAACCCTACTAAGACATATTTTAGTGTAGCAAACAACATATTTAAGGAGTAAGTGCTATGGGCCAGGTGTGGTGGTGCACCCTTGTATCCCAGCACCTGGGAGACTGAGGCAAGAGGATTGTGGAGAGATTGAGACCAACCTGGGCTACAAAGTGAGTTCAAGGCCAGCCTGAACTGCATAGCAAAACCCTGTCTTAAAAAGGTAACAACAACAACAAAAAAGAACAAGTGCTATGGAGAAAAAATTAGACAAAGAAGGTGAGGAAGTACGCAGTCCTAGGATGGGTTGAAACTCAGCAGACACTTGAAAAAAAATGAAGGAATATTTTATGTGGATTATCACAAAGAATATCTGTGAAAGAGAGAAAACACAAAGACCCTGAGGCAGAAAAAACTTGTTGAGTTTAAAGAACAGTAAGGAAGTTTTAATAAAGTTGCCAACAAATCAAAAGATTTCCTAGGCCAGGCGCGGTGGCACACGCCTGTAATCCCAGCACTCAGGAGGCTGAGGGAGGAGGACCGTTGTGAGTCGAGGTCAGCCTGAGCCAAAGTGAGTGCAAGGCCAGCCTGAACTGCACAGTGAGACCTTGTCTCAAAAAGACAAAAAAAAAAAAAAAAAGGATTTCCTATCACACAGACCCACTGCTAGAAATATTCAAGCAAAACCAAAGCACTGTCTACGGGGCTGGGGATTTAGCTCAGCGGCAAAGCACCTGCCTGGCAAGCGCAAGGTCGTGAGTTCGGTTCCCAGTACCGGAGAAAAACCAAGAAAAAAGAAACAAAAAACCAAAGCACTGTCTAAAGGATTTTACTAAGAGTATTCTTGTTCCTTACGAAAGACTAAATTAAACAACCATTAAAGTTCTTAGAACCCTTTAAGAATGTATTATTATTTTTAAAATACTACTTTTTAAAAAAACAGTGGCAGCTCGGGCTTACATAATTAAAATGGAACACATCTTTTAACCTTTAAGCCAGTGATTCTTTTTTACCTTAAGCACCATTATGAACCTTAAAAACAGTGACCTAGGCCCCAATTACTTGGTGTTGAGTGATACCTTAAGCCCCGAGGCTTAAAAGTTTTCCAAGTGATTCTGATATTCAGCTGAAGTAACAACCATCAGATTGAAATGAGGCTTTTTATCGGCATCTCCTACTTTGGAAAATAATGACCAGCTAGGAAAAAAGAATGAGGGTAAACCAAATGCCCAGATTATGCAGGGTCTTGGAATACATTAAGGATTTCGTGTGTTTGGGGGGAGGCAGGGGTTTTCCAAGTTTATGGCTAAAGCAAATGGAATAAGGGAGTCACCAGCAACTAAAACGATCAACAATGAAGAGAAGAAGGGAATATGAATCAAAGTTCAGTAACTTCAAGATGCTTATTAGCTATGTAAGGGGAGATGAAATCTGAAACTCAGAGCAGACCAGGCTGGATAAATATATCTGGTAATCATCAGCGTACCAGATGATTATTAAAGACAGGACCAGATGATTATTAAAGATGAGGTCATCTGGAGACAGACTTCATCCTCAGAAAGTGTGAAAATGAAGAGTTGAGACATTCTACTTTGAAGAGTCAGGAGAACTGGAATAAACTTACAAAAGAAACTTAGAAGGAACAGTTGGTGACATAAAAAAGGAACCTAGAAAAATGATCTCACAAAAACCAGGTGAAGAAAATTATTCAAGGAAGAAAGAAAAATTAATTGTGTCAAATATTGCTCACTAAGATGAGGTCTGAGAATTACCCATTGGATTGTATAATGTGGTCAGTAACAACTTTCACAATGGCAGTATGATGGGGGATTTGTGATGATGAAAGCCTAACTGGAAGACATTCGGCATAAAACATAGGAAAAACAGACATGCGCAACTCTTTCAAGTTTTGCTCTAGAGAGGAGAAATAGGATAGTGGAGAAAATCCTAGTATTTTAAATCAAATACCCTATCATGCGTAGAAGCATATTACACTTGTACGAAAAAGTAATCATGCAAAACTGCTACTTGTTAATATACTTTAAATTTTTCAAAAAGTAAATTCAATATTTAATAAAGCATTACAAAAAATGGCCACCCTCTCTATCCTTCTTTCCCAAATACCTGTTCATGGCCTGGATCTTCAGACCTTCTTCAATGCTGTGACTGAGTGCCTGCTGATTATTGTGCTTGTTGATCCTGGCTAATACTCTCTCCTGATGAGCTTCATACTCATCACGACTAGGGTAAATTTTGCTGATGAGTGCATCAAAGTTTGGGTCTGGCCTTAGTGATCTTTTGGAAACTAGTTTTTTCCGACAGGTAGGACATTCTTTGTTGCTAAATAAAGAGAGAAGAAAAGAAAATGTAAACAATGTCAGTATCGTTGGGCTAAAAACAAAACCATCCAGCTTCTACGTAGTTATCATATTTACTGCAATAGCTTTCTGAAGTCACAGAAATTTAAAATGATTAACATGAATTTCCTTAAATTTCTGATAAATAGGTAAAAGTAAGGTTCAGCCAACCTCAGATACTACCAGCGCCAAAAGAGAAAACTTTAGATACTTCTCAGTGATAATTTATGCATACCATTTTAGAAACAAAAATCTCTTCTTTGGCTAAATTAAAACTTCCCCTTTCTGATATCCATAACATACATGGAAAAACTACCCACTATTTATATGCTATCAATTCTCCTACTGAAATAACACTTTCATAAGAATGTTATTTTACATACTTTAAACTCCAGAGAGCTACCTACAGTCATGCTACAATGTAAATAACTAGTGTAATTCATTTCAACATACCCACTTCTTAGGGCTGTGATAATACAATCTGCACAAAAACGGTGCAAACACTCCTTTGTAGTCATAGTGTTCTTCAACATATCCAAACAAATTGGGCACATTAATTCGCTGTGGAGACTTCTAGGTGAAACCACAATTTCCAAGCCATCTGTTATTGCCTCCTGTAAAAGACAGTCACTTTAAAACTAAATGCTACTTATTTTTTTATTATGGCAAATCCAAATATATAAAATCACTGAAAATGGTAAAAATGAACATGTGCCTATCACTCAGCCACCACTCTTGTAAACTCATAGCCAATCTTGCTTTAGCTCGGATCTTCTAACTTCTTGCAACCCCATCACCAATACAATATGTAAATCCTTATTTTGAAAACCAAGATAATATAGTAATGTAGTAAAAGATAAGCAGGAAATTATCCTGTATGAAAAGCAAAACACATTGAATTTGGAACCATGTGCCTTGGTAATGCTAATTATGTAATTAGTTTTATGGCTCTCTCTATATAACACTGTTCTATCTGAAAATGTAAGTTTGGACCAGCTGAACCCTAACAATTCTTCCATCTTCAAAATGCTAACAGGCAAACGTATGATTTAAAATTTGTAATACCTTATAGGTGAAGAAAACTCTCATTCGGCAAGTATGATAACCCACTTGGATTTCTGATAAAACCTAACCTGGCTAAACCAGTCACCTATGTTCTTCAGGTCTGTGTTTGTATGGGTGTGTAGTATTGTGTGGGGAAAAAGGAAATCAGACTGACATCACCAAAAATGTCACCAGCCTTAAATGGGTATTAAGACACTGCTCAGCAATTGGTTATTGTAACAAATTCACTTTTCCTTCCTCTACCCTATCTTATTCCTTTTGTGTGTCTGCAAACTTTTTACTACCTGCCACAGATCACTTCACCTCCCACTGTATTTCACTGAGAGTTTCCTCATTTCTTCTTTAGCAAATCTATAAAACAGCTTTCTGTTTGTTTTAAGGAGAAACTATACCTGTTCCTTTCAAAGGTACATTCCTTTGTTCCTGCCTGAAGAAGTCCCTCTTTTACTTTTATTTGCTCTCCGGTTTCAGTAATCTTTCCCTCTCTATTATCAATTTAGGATATTAGTATCTCAGTGAGGTTACTGTGCACTGCAATGTGCAAGGCATGGGGGAAGTGGAGCACTCATACACAGAACAGGAAACTTCTTTTTTTTGTTTGTTTGTTTTTCCAGTACTGGGCAGGAAACTTCTTAATTCTGTATTTCCCTCCAGGTTTTTGTGTTTCTCTGCTCCCCTGTGCAGCCAAACTTCTCTGAAGAATCCTGTAGATTCTTTTTTCACTTTTCTCCATTACACACAATTATCATTTCCTTGGTCCATGATATGAACCAATGATGAAAATACATCATGGCTCCATTCAATTTTTAACCTATACTCAAGTGAATTTGCTCTTGTTAAGGTAACCAAGCATAAATGCCAAATCTAGTTAACTCTTTTTTAATGTTCATTTTATTTCAGCCTATCAGCACTTCTTAACATATTAACTTTATCCTCCTCCTTCTTTAGATTCTGAATGCCCTCTCCCCTCCATCTCGTTTCTCGATCTTCTTCACTGGTTCCATCTACTTTGTCTGTCACCTAATTTCTAAATGTTGGAGCACTTCTAAATGAAGTTTGGGGCCCTGTTCCAGTTCTTTGGTGGACATATTCATTCCCATTGCTTAAGATGTGCAAACAGTACCTAAAGTTTTATAGTTAGCCCAGACTCTAGTTAGCATCTCTGCCTGCTCTACTCTTTCACAGGCATCTCAAGCTTACAATGAGTCCAGTTTTAAGCATGTTTACCTTCAAATCTCTCCTCTAGTTTATGCCATTCTGCCTCCTCAAAAGTCTTCCCTAGTTGCCCCATTATTATTATAGTACAACTTCTCAACAGGTGTGATTTTATGGATATTTACTTGTTTAATGTCTATAAACTTCATGGACTAGAGTCACATTGGTTTAATTCACCACTGTTCCTCCTCTAGTGCCTAACAGTGAGGTTTGTATGGAATACAAAAAAAATTCGTTGAAATAAAGAAGTACCACTTAGGTTTTCATTTTTTTTTTTTTTTTTGGACCAGCAACCGAACTCAGAACCTTGGGCCTGCCAGGCAGGCACTTGTGCCACTGAGCTATATCCCCGGCCCTCATTTTCTGAAATTGCATCTCAGTTCACATACTTGATATTTCCAAGGTTATTTTAACCTGTATTACCTGAGGTGTTCGTTGTAATTCGTATAAGCTCAGTTCCCATGTTTTGCTTAATGGCTGAGTTCCATTTGTCTGCACAGCCTGAGACATTGCTAGGAATAAAAAGGAGGCAAAAATAATATTAGTATTTGAAAGGGAAGTACTTCATCTGAATGTCTGTGTAGCCCCAAAACTGATGTTCCAACTTTTGGGCCTCAGAATACAATACATCAAAAATATACCACTTTGAACTTTAAGAACATCTGTAAAGCAGCAAACACAAGCAAGGGCTTTCTCTAGGGTTCCTTTATCTATCTAAAGACTAGTTCTATCAAAGAAGAACTAACTACTTTCAAATATTCTTACTGAAATTTCATGAAACAAGAAAGAATAAACTCATATGACAGAGAAAAGCCTAAAAATCAGTCACCATATCTACACCCACGAAGAACTTTTGTTCCAGACCCTTGTCTATTCAGCCTCATTTTCTCCCCCTAAAACATCATTTACTACCCCTCTGTAACTGCCTATAGATCTCCATTTCCCCTTGCCCTATGAAAAGGGTACTTAAGTCTCAACCATTTGGCCCTTCTTTTAAGTTCCATATGATCTCCAACCTTTCTGGCACTAGGGACTTACTTGATAGAAGACAATTTTTCCACAGACAGGGCTAGGGGCTGAGTTTAGTTTTTATTTGTTGTTGTAAGTATATGTTTCTGATACATAATTATATTTCCCAGCACTAGCATCACTGCCTTAGCTCCATCTCAGATTATCTGGCATTAGATTCGCATAAGGAGTATACAATCTATATTGTTCCCATGCACAGTAGGATTTTCATTCTTAAGAAAATCTAATGCCACCACTGATCTGACAACAGGTGGAGCTCAAGTGGTAATGCAGGCAATGAGGACTGGCTAGAAATAGAAATGAAGCTTCGCCTTCTCTTTGGCCCAGGTGTTGGGGACCCCTGCTTTAATTGTATAATCAACTTGCATGCTTTTGTCCCTTTAATTTGCCTACTGTCCGCTGTTTCAAAAGACTTGATTACTGAACCTTCAGAGGGAAAAGTTTCAGCTTCCCTAGAAACCGGAATGCCAATGTTGAGATGGGGCCCTGGGGAACTGACAAAGTCATGAGGGATCAGTGTCCTTTTAAAATACATTTAAGGGGCTACTTTGCTCTTCCACTATGTAAGGACACACAGAGGGTGCCATCCACAAAAAACAAGCTTTCACCAAACACTGAACTCACTGATGCTTTGACCTTGAATTTCCTAGATTCCAGAACTGTGAGCATTAAGTTTCTGTTCCTCAAGAACTACCCAGTCTAAAGTACTGTCATAATAAGTCAAGTGGATTAAGACAGGATGTAAAGCACAAAACTGATCATTAGGAACTGTTAAAGTAGAGGACAAGCTCAAGAATCTTTCCATTTAAAACTATTTGACAGAGACTACCATTGATGGCTGAATGCTCAACAGCTGGCAAACAAAGAGTAGTTAACATCATCTAAAGTACATAACTATTCAATGTATACTAGACTGTCTTAACATGTTCCCACCGGCTTGAATCATCAGGTGTACAAATGGACCTACTGTAATCACTTTCGTCAGTCTTTTCACTAATAAAATTAGTAAGTCTATAAATGGACCAAATCTACTTAGTTGCTTGACTTTAAATAATTACTGTTCAAATACAGACTTTAGTTAATACTATAAATACCAGTTTAAAAATTATTACAATAATCAATACATTTATTTCATTAAATGAAAAGAAATTAGCCAGGCGAGGTGGCGCACGCCTGTAATCCCAGCACTCAGGAGGCTGAGGCAGGAGGATCTTTGCGAGTTCGAGACCAGCCTGGGCTACAAAGTGAGCTCAAGGCCAGCCTGAGCTGCATAGCGAGACCCTGTCTCAAAAAAGACCAAAAAAAAAAAAAAAAATTAAACAAATGAAAAGAACTTTATTTATGTTCATGAATGGTTTTTCAATAATTAACTCAAAATTTTAACATTGCATGGGCCAGGCATGGTGGCACACTGTAATCTCAGCACTTGGGAGGCTAGGACAGGAGGACTGCTCTGAGTTTGAGGCCAACCCGGGCTATACAGTGAATACAGCAAGACTATCTCAAACAAACAATATGGCAACCTTTTAAGTACACCAGTGCTGGTGTACAAAGCAATATTCATTTATAACTGCTTTACCATAAATTAGCTATATTATAATTTTTATGCCATTTTAATATTGTCCTTAAGGAACTATAATATAACGAAACCTGGTCTGCCAAATCAATACCTTTCTTTGCATTACTGTAATTGAAGACCCACTGAGAAGTGGTACAAACAGGCAGGAACAGTCCAATTCAAATCAGAGCCATCTAGGGGATAGGGATTTAACTCAGTGGCACAGCACCTGCCTGGCAAGCGCAAGGTCGTGAGTTAGATTCCTGGAAGAAGAAGAAGAAAAGACAAAAAAAAAAAAAAACCACAAATCAGAGCCACCTGGCAGTGAGGTATGTGTAGGCCCCATTGTGAACATGTTAACACAAACATGTACTTCTCTGAAATTCATGATCATGGAACTTAGAACTAAATAAGAAACATTTCCAACTCTTCAGTAAGGCTGTTTAGTCCAACTTTGCCCGAGATATAAAATCTAGTTTGCAGCACTTTAAACCACTGGCCGTTATGCCTGTACTTTCACAGCTCCACTCATGAAAACTTCCTTATCTAGTCAGTCAGCTCTAACATTCCTAGAACTCAGAACTGCCCCTCTGGAAACAAACTGATTAAGGCTAATAATTTTTCTACAAGATAGCCATTCAAGGGCTTAAGAGTCTGGATTATCTCCACCTGAGTGTTCTTTCTTTTTTGGGTAAACATCCTAGTACCTCCTATTGCTCCTCATTTTACAAGCTTTTTCCATCATACCAATTCCTTAATTCTGCCTTCCCTCCCACTACAAATGAATCAATATAGTAAGGAAAACTTCTCTGTGGGTACCCCCGCCCCCATGCTGGAAACTGAACCCAGAGCTGCACATATACTAGGAAAGCACTGTACCACTGCGCTACACCCCCAACTCTCTACATATCTTTGAACAGAGGGACAGGCTCCTGTACAAACTCAGGGAAGACAATCATAGTTACAACACTGACTCTTCTAGGGAGCAAAAACTTACAGTAGTCCCAGTCATCCAAATATTTAGTAGTTCTCTATTATTAATCAAGCATTACTTCCCTAGGATGTTCGTCTCAAAACTCATAACCTAAAAACAATGTATACAAAAATAAACTACAATCTGACAAAAAAAGAATCTGAGGAGTCTGAGAAGGCTTTTATAGAGAAGAAAGAAGCCTTAAAAACAAACAAGTTACCACAATGGAGTAAGAATACAAAAGAAAAAAGGCTGTAGGTCAAAAACAGCAGCATGGCTTTCTCGTTATGGGGCTGGGGATTTAGCTCAGCGGCACAGCGCTTGCCTGGCGAGCACAAGGTCATGAGTTCAGTTCCTGGTACTGGGGCGGGGGGGAGCAGCATGTATGAAGACAGACAAGAAAATCAGGTACGCTTGTGTTTAGAAGATATTCAAAGTTTTAAACGAGAAGGACACAACCAAGTATTTTCACTGAAACTCAAGAATAGAAAGCAACTAGCCATATGGAGATCAATGAGGATACTTGCTAAAACACAACTAAGATTAACTATCTGACCTAAAGCAATTAAGCACAGATAGACAAAATTAGACAGATGAGAGGCTGGGGATTTAGCTGAGCGGCACAGTGCCTGCCTGGCAAGCACTAGGTCGTGAGTTCAATTCCCGGTACCAGAAAAAAACAAAACAACAAAAAAAAAGATAGATGGCTGAGGAATACACAGGACTCTGGTGTAAGAAAAGTTAAATATGACTGGGAAACCAATCATCTTTTACTGACAGAACACAAAACATGTGAGTTAGAAGAGAAGTGAAGGTACTATGTATACTGAACTCTAGTTATTTGTGGGCCACTGAGGAAAATTTCAGTAGATAGTGAAAAAGAAATACTTTGTACCTTCCTAACAATACAACTCGTCCTTTTGGTTTTTTTCCTCTGGGGTTGAAAGTTAACACACTGAATATCATGGACCTTGGCCACCATTTTATAAGCGTAGTTAGATGGTTGCTACAACAACTTTTCCCTTTGTGAAATCAAAGTGAAAACTGGAAAATTCTGATAAAATTCATTTCATATTCATTTTTACTATCACTCTAAATTATTATGCCTGCTAGGCTAGACAGCACAATTTCTCCAAAGATAAAGGAGGTATGCCAAGGCCTCAATATGACACTCACTACTACTATGTAGGGGACAGGTGTTGTGACTTTACAGACAGACCCCTTTGTAAGCAATTAAGAAACTAGTCAGGAGGTTCTGGCACCTGCAAAGTCAGCCACATGGAAATTTCAGGCAACCTACATAGTAGTACAATACTCTTAAGAGGAAACCCTCTCACTCCCAGCTTCTTTCTGGAGAGTGAAAAGTTTACTAATGTCCAATGATTCAACTTTTCTGAGTTCTACCCAGAGGGACTGGCTTCTGTCTAGTCTGTTCTAGAATGCCAAGAAGGAGCTGGGGATTTAGCTCAGCAGCACAGCACCTGCCTGGCAAGCGCAAGGTCGTGAGTTCAATTCCCAGTACCAGAGAAAAACCAAAAAATAAATAAATAAACATAGAATGCCAAGAAGACCCAAGTTGCCTGAGAAGAATTAGCAAAAACAGAAATAAAAGTTCACACTGGTAGTCACCATGGTCCCTTTCTCCTATGCTCAGCACAAAGAGAATGTATTTTAAAACCTCAGCTCCTACCAGTTTGATTTGCAAACAAAAGCATTCAGAAAAATTCAGCCTTCTTATGTTTTGTTTTTTTGGTAAACTCTGCATCGGATGCCAAACATGACTGCAGCTGTCTTTCCAACACACACAAATGTGGCCACCTTTTCCAAAATCATGGAACGGCCAGACTTGGTAGTGTACAGCTGTACTCCCAGCACTTGGGAGGCTGAGGCAGGAGGATGCCACAAGTTTAAGGGCAGCCTGAGCTACATAGTGAGCTCAAGGCAAGCCTGCA